AATTAAAATGCATTACTTTGAAAGTGATGAAGCAATTTTAAAAATTAAGACTGATATGATATTAAACACTCGTTAACACCAAATTATGACAATGCATAATACTTGCTTGAGCAAATATAATATCCGTATTAAAAGAAAAATATGAAACCGAAAGTTGATTTTTTTAAATAAAATTAAATGAAAGATATGCACTTACCTTATCGTTCCAGCATTCTAAAATGATTTCCTCTTAGGTCACATAACTTGTCATGTACATTTATTGTAGTAATATATTATATTTCTGTCCCTAGTACATTTCAAAGTAAGCTCTGAAATACACAGCCATGACTGCCGTCGGTACGCTGCCTATGTACCCTGTATACATTTATAAATAGATTGCATTTAAATACTCGGTGTTCCTCTAATGATTAGGTCAAGAAAAAGTGGCGGATTTAAATGTTTTTGAAAACTAAAAATATTCAAAGAAGAAAATAATCTTGACACAAGCGTCGAAGATATAAGGCCGCAAAACCTTTTAAGGCGGGTCCACACTTTTACGGATCCGGTTTTAATTTTACACACCAATATAAAATTTTGATTATCCTTATCTATTGCAAAAAAATCTTTTTGGATGATTGAAAATAATTTAGCAAATATATATTTGTTTATTATAGTGTCATTGTGCACACAAAGCATTTAATGTACATTATTTATAGGAATAACCATGCACTTTGCACTATATCCATGGGATCTATATGTAATTTAGTACATACACAGACAGAGAATTCTTAATTGCCTTTATGGACCTAAAGCTTTTTAATTTTTTTTAAACAAACTAACTTGAGATCAATTTAACTGTAATTTTTAGCCTTTATCATCTTTTTAAATTTACTTTTTAATAAGTTTTGCAAAGAACGATTGAAAAAATAGATATTACAAAAAATGGGGGTATAGGTATTCAAAAGGCTGTTTTGTAAAAATTTTCTGGTCAACCATAACAAAGTATGTTTTTTTGTTAACCTAAGATATGATTCTAAATAATTATGAAGAAAAAATAGCATATAAACATATAAGATTTTGAGAAATATTTAAAATAAAGATATTTTGAGCTTTTTCTCTGAAAGATTTTGACAGATCCAACATGAATTCTTTGGTGTTTTCAAATAGAAATTTCAAATATTTTCTTGACAAATAAATATTTATGATTTTCCTAACTTTTAACAATAATTGGATGTGTTTTGGCACATAGCTAGATAAAATATGATGTTACACATCTATATGTTGAATTTTTGCTGTTTCATTTTTAGAGGTATATACTCCGAGACATGTTGCATAAAAATTAACCTGCAAAGATATGTTTTTTATGGGTGTTATAGTTAGATTATGACTTATTTAAGATTTTCAAATAAAAAAATAAAGAGTTTGAAAGAAAATTCAGAAAGTACGGACCTACCTTAAGTACCTTTTAAACAATGGATAGAATTTCCTATCGTTAAATTGATAAACTTTGTATGGACCCGGTGGTGAGGGCATACTTCGAGACACAGTAATATTTTATTTTAGCTATTTAATTAAACACAGATGGGGATGAAGAGTACAGAGAGCTCAAAAATTGCTTAAATTTTTCACTATTCTATTTTTTTTTGGGGGGGGGGTGTTTTGTAATTCTGTTATTTGCGACGGCGTTTTCATTTCATAGTGAAAATAGAAAAAAAAAATTTTAAAAAAATGAAAATCGTTTGAGCGATTTAGAAAATCGTTTATACGATTTAATTTTCTTCTGATTCGGAAGAAAACGCAGTGGATAAGAAATATATAGAGAGGCCCCTTCGTTGCTGACTATAACAGGTACAGAAACACATATGCTAAACTATATCTTGTTAATTAAACTGTGTGAATATGTTGTAATGTAATCTTTGTTTTAATCTGTTTTTCCCAAATAAATACTTCCAACGAATATCTTCCCGAGAAACGGTAAATTCTACCATAATGGCTTTCCAGCACAGCCACCTGTTACCATGCAATTGACCCTGGAATCAAGTCTTCTGTCATGTGGATTTTGTATTTACTTCCACCTTCGATATTAACAACATGACAGTTTATTTCTATGAAAAGAGCTAAATATCACCTATTTTTGATTCGTTCTACGTCTGAACAGTTCCAACGTAGCTATTGTCCTTTTAAATTTTTATCTAAAAAAGACTCGGTGAGTTTGTGAAGGGATCTGTGCAATTTAAAAAAAAAAACCATTTTCAAATATTCCTTGATGAATTTCCTCAACATGTCATTCATTACGTCATTTCTTATAAACTATGCATGGATACATTGTCCTACTTCTGCAAGGTTTTATACTACGCTTCCTCTATGTGTACTAACAAGAAATATAAATTGTACAAACATTTTTTAATGGTACGAACGATTTTCTAAATGGTACAAATAATTTTAAAAACCGTACAAACGATTTTAAAAATCGTTCAAACAATTTTAAAAATCGTTCAAACAATTTTAAAAATAGTACAAATGATTTTAATGATTCTTAAAAAAAAATTTCTACATTGTCAAAATGGCACAAATACGCCGTCGTAGTTATTCGATCAAGAAAACTTGTTTGTGTAAATGTTTGTGTATGTTTTCTTTTGTAGTTATAACTTAGATGTATCAATTTAACGTTGAATCAATAAAAAAGTGACCAAAATACATATATATCTTTTAAAATCTGCATGAGCCTTTGTTTCAAATTGGGAATTTGAAGTCAATTGGTTTACAAGTTTGAGGGGTTATCTAAAAGTTCGTGGACTGAGACTAAAAAATTAGTATATTGCAAACTGTGCTTTCAAAATTTATAAGAGACATAAAACAACAAAAAATAAAGAAATGTTGAAATATTTTAGCCTGATACGTTAATTATTTGCCGAATTATCATAAAATGAAAACAACATTATATGATCACCCGGCGCTGTCGTCGTTTATTCTCATTGCGTCAGATAACGTCATTGTTTTTTCAATGTCCGCTTCTTCTACATCGTACACTTTTTTTATGAGATTCCCTGGAGCTGAGTAAGGAAAGCGCCATTTTTATATATGACTTAACAATGAATGAACAGTGGCCTTCAGTGAATATAATATTCCAAATGGATTAATAAAAGTGGGAGAGATCAGCGCTTGATTTATTTTTTGTGCCGACATATTTTGTTTTGGGGAGTTCAATATCTACAACACATGATCAATGTCATTTTTTGACGTGATTGGTTTTTTAGAAAAATCTTATTCTAATAAGTTTGTAAATGTATTATCTAATAATTTAATGAGTAAAATTGAATACATTGCCAAACAATTCATATTTAAAGAAAGGATACGTATTGGGCAAAACATAATCCGAGATTCCTCTGAGTCTAACCCCCGCTTTTATATTGTGACTTGTGTGGGGGAGAGTCAGAGCGGACTCCATATTGAAAACTGGGAATCTGGCGAAACCACCTGGTATCGCTACTCTGCCTACCTTTTACAACTTTATTTCGCGAAGCTAACTCCCGAGACGCGAGAAATCAGTAAAATAATTATTTTCCTACTTATTAATTGTCATTAAAAGGATGCTTCTACCGTTTAAACAGCTCTATCACGCATCAAGCATCCCGAGACGCGAGAAATCAGTAAAATAATTATTTTCCTACTTGTTAATTGTCATTAAAAGGATGCTTCTACCGTTTAAACAGCTCTATCACGCATCAAGCATCCTTTTAATGACAAGTAACAAGTAAGAAAATAATTATTTTACTGATTTCTCGCGTCTCGGGAGTTAGCTTCGCGAAATAAAGTTGTAAAAGGTAGGCAGAGTAGCGATACCAGGTGGTTTCGCCAGATTCCCAGTTTTCAATATGGAGTCCGCTCTGACTCTCCCCCGCACAAGTCACAATATAAAAGCGGGGCTTAGAGTCAGAGGAATCTCGGATTAGGCAAAACACTATTAATTGAAACATTGTATATAATGTACATTCCATCCACAATATCGCATGTTGTGTTATATTCAGTGATTTATCGGTGTTAAGTGAATTTGAATCTTATCACTTGGGTTCAAAATGGCGTTTTTACGGAAGTACGCCATGTTGTGACGTTGTAGAGGGCCCCCTTAACGGGAATTTTGGATGTCAAATGATCATATCAAAAGCGTTTTTCTCAGCTACACATAGGTCGCAAAAAAATTCGTTTTGGAAGTTGTGCCGCCTGTACATACAATTTCTTACAAAAACATGACAGATTTATTTTTTAAAAAATTGATTTATGGTTTGTTTTTTAGATAGAACAGATGATGCTAAATAGATTTTATAAAATTCATTGATGTACATAAGGCAGTTTTAATTTTATGACGCTAGTCCACGAACTTTTTGATAGCCCCTCGTATACATGTATATGTACTTTTCAATTCTATTTCAGAAATTAAAAAAAAACTTAGCGTTCAAAACAATATTCGTTTATTAAGGATATCTCTTTAAAATATTTTTATAATGACAATGATGTCCTTTTAAAAGACGGCAATTTCTGTGAGGATTTTTTTTCCTGTTGAAAATATTAATAACTCATTGATATAAGATAATAATTTAATTCGGAAATGCAGAAATACAGGGTCTCTATACTCAATCATCTAAGTAATTAAATTGCTAAGGTGGTCTCTTCAAGAAAATGATACATTCTTAATTGTTTGGAGACAGTCACATTGTCGACTATAAATTTTATGTAAGGCAGCCGATGTATCTTTTTATCTGCATACATTACTTGACGTCATACTCTTGTTCATTAATTGTTTTCCTGTCAGATGAATAAACAATAGAAAAATAAGCTTGATAACAGTAGCTTCGCAGCTAATTTTAATGGCAACAAACAACAAACCTTTGGCAGAATTTACAAAAAAAAACGTGATGTAAAAATCCTTAAACAGTTCAAACAGTGAGATTGCAAATAAAAGTTTAAATTGATGGTTTTTTAAAGGGCAACATTTAGTCTGACGCAAATCTTACGTGGGGGACACTAGATGGTGCACAGGTATTGGACATTCTACATTTTCAAAATCTCCACAATTCTGGTTGAATTTCAAACTGAATGAATCAATGTTCTTAGAAAAGCCATTTATTTATTTAATTATAATTATCAAACAATAAAAAAATACATTAAGGTGCAAAAAAGAAAAGAAAACAGTCTCCATTCTTTGGAATGTGTTTTAAGGTTTGCGAAGAAGCATTTTCACGACCTTCAAAGGTTTGTACATATCCCAGCCATACCAGCCCATAACATTACTTCCGGATGAGGCGTACGTCGCTGTTAATTTGGTTCGTAGACAACTCAGATTCCACCAGGCTGTTTTATAGTCCACTGCGCAATTTCCGGAATTCGTGTCATGGTCGACATCTTTTGCAGAAAAGGGTGCATTATTGTGAAAAGCCATACTATCACCTAATAAAAGGGAATTAATTCATAACTTAAAAAATACATACATTAGGCAGTCATTCATTTGGAAATTGATGAATCAATGAAGCCCCATACAAAATTTATGAAACTCATAATTAGGATGCCAAGAAATAGGATTTTTTTATAAGCTATATTGATGCACATCTACGACACATGTTCATATTTTGCTCTAAGCTCACAATTGTTTTGTGTGGATTTTAGGTTTTGTTTTAATTCTTTATTATTCTTTATTTGTTCAATTTTAATATATATACCCGCATCTCCAGTATACCCGGAAACTGTCATAAGATAATTAGTTGAGGTCGATCCAACATTGAAGCTACTGTACTCGGCGAAACGAGTGTTTGAAGAGTAATCCTCGAATTCAAACCTCAGCACTGTGTTACCCCCGGCCGTCAACAGATGGATGTATAGATTTCCTACAAAAAAAGTACATTTTTAAGTATGCATCCTTTTTTCAGAATAAAACGTTAATTTCACAATTTATATATGCGTTTATTCTTTTGATATATATGTTTATTCTGGCCAAGTCTCTCTCTCTCTCTCTCTCTCTCTCTCTCTCTCTCTCTCTCTCTCTCTCTCTCTCTCTCTCTCTCTCTCTCTCTCTCTCTCTCTCTCTCTCTCACCTATCCAGGTTTCGGTGAAAGGACTACCAAATCCAGTCTCAAATTCAGCATAGGTTCTGTAGAAGTCCACACTACCGTCGTTTCTATCCATAATTACCTGAAAAAAGACAACATTTAATGTTGAATTAAGTGTTGCATATAAGTTAACTTTTTACTGACACCCCCTTCCATCTTCAATATTAGTTCAGGCCAGTCTTAATTCAGATGGCAAAATATGACATACTTTAACTCATTTTAAAATATGTTCCTCGGTGTACATACTTTGTCAACATTAATTTGTGAAAAAGAGATTTTTTCTTAAAATCCTTAAAAAAAATTGAAGTAAATTTCTCTGGCAGGATAATTACTGAATATATATTTTATGATGTTCCTAATCATTCTCCCCCGATTATGTGGGGGTTTTATGGGCCATCAAGTTCAACAAAGGTTTGTTGCATCAGAGATATCTAAGAAATATGTCTCTGGTTGCGTGTATTTTTAACGGTTTTGGCGGAAAGTATTATCTGGTAATTTAAGTACAAAGCTAAATGTCTCGCACCTATCTATAAGGAAGAACATTAAGATATGCACTTAATCAAATTAGCTAACTCGTTCAAAATCCAATTTCCACAAATGTAAATGTCATATTTTTATGCGCCCGGATCGATAGATCCAGGGCGTATATTGTTTTTGTCCTGTCTGTTTATCTGTTTATCTGTTTGTCTGTTTGTCTGTCTTTCTGTCTGCTGTCAACTTTAACCTTCGCCATAACTTTTGAGCCATAAGAGAAAGAGACTTCATATTTGGAATGCATACTCCACTAATAAAGTCCTTTCAAATGACATCAAGGTCAATGACCTCGTGACCTTGACTGTGACCTATATGCTAAAATAGCTTTTTCCACTGTTTGTCATAACCATAGGAGATAGGGATTTCATATTTGGTATACATACTCCACTAATAAAATCCTTTTGAATGATGTCAAGGTCAATGATCTTCTGACCTAGACTGTGACCCATATGCTAAAAATAGCTTTTTTCTCTTTTTGCCATAACTTTTGAACCATAGGAGATAGGGAATTCATGTTTAATATGCCTACTTCACTAATAACTAATGTCTGTTTATCTGTTTGTCTGTTTATCTGTTTATCTGTTTGTCTGATTGTCTGTTTATCTGTTTATCTGTTTGTCTGATTGTCTGTCTGTCTGTCTGCTGTCAACTTTAACCTTCGCCATAACTTTTGAGCCATAAGAGAAAGAGACTTCATATTTGGAATGCATACTCCACTAATAAAGTCCTTTCAAATGACATCAAGGTCAATGACCTCGTGACCTTGACTTTGACCTATATGCTAAAATAGCTTTTTCCACTGTTTATCATAACCATACGAGATAGGAACTTCATATTTGGTATACATATTCCACTAATAAAATCCTTTTGAATTATGTCAAGGTCAATGATCTTCTGACCTAGACTGTGACCTATATGCTAAAAATAGCTTTTTTTCTCTTTTTGCCATAACTTTTGAACCATAGGAGATAGGGAATTCATGTTTAATATGCCTACTTCACTAATAAAGTCCTTTCAAACGACACCAAGGTCAATGACCTTGTGATCTCGACTGTGAGCAATATGCTGAAAATAGTTTTTTTCGAACTCTGTTTATGCCGGGCGCATAGTGTTTCGCAAACACATCTTGTTTATTTTACTATAATTGTTAATGGAGTTTATTTTATTTGCAATATTTTTTTGGTAGATCACATATGTGTAACAATGTTTGGTAAATAATTCTTGATAGGTAATCTTCTTATATTTGGGTGAGGCTACTATTTGTATATTAGGTAATTTCCGCCCAGCATCTTTGTACATCCTAACGTGAACGAAAGAACGATAAAAGGTAAAACTTAGCGACTTGGTCAGGAGAACAAGGTAATTACATATATTATGTAGAAATCATACATATAATATTCTTATGCTCACAGTAATGCTTAACGTCCCTGATCTTGTTAGCTAATGTTCCTGATTTATTATAGATATAACAATTACTCTGTATGTAGAGCATTTTTGTAAAAGCTAGTGTGGTTTTATAAATGGCACCATTTTGACCCATGTGTAATGAAATGTTGATAGATCATTAGTCCCATAGCAATTTGCATTTTATATATCATACCAATTAATGATTAAATAGAACTGATTCACTATATGTAAATTACCAGTAAAGAGATTATTTGTTGTGCACATGGAATTTTGTGTGTGTATTAACTTAGAGTTAATCCATGCATTCCCCTTTTACGGTAATGTAAGGCAAGGCACCAAGTTTGTTTACATGTTTTAAGTGAAGTAGCACAGTCATATTTTCTGATTGTCACTGGTAATAATTTTATTGAGATTAAGTAGTGAATTAAATTAAACGTATACATGTAGATGTTATTCATATTACATATTACTGGTCAGTTGGCTAATATTATTGAATATTCTAGTCTACATGTGTATGTATACTAAAGGGTCATCTTAGTGCATGTTTGTGTTCTTTATGTAATTTTAGATTTTCTTGTTATGTAATAATTACTGATAAATTTTGTATTTGTTAACAGTTCTTACGTTGATGTTACCATCACAAATCAATAAAGTCATCACCAGTATTCTTAGACTTATCCCTTTTTGACCAAGCCACTAATAACAAAATATTGTACGCAAGTTATTCATTTAAAGTACGTTCTAGGAATTAAAAGAAATAAATAAAAAGACCAGGAAAATCTGAACAAATTAAAACCTACAGTGTAGGCATAGCCATTCTTCATGACGCACTGAACGTCAACTGGTCCACCATTCATGGTTACTGTGTAGACCCCGCTGGCACCTGATAACGAGGCTATGCAATCGCAGTCAGAACAACCTACATTTTTGAAAAAAAAAGTTAAATTAAAAGTTTTAAAGTCACTGTACAATAAAGATCCATTGTCGATCTAGGGTCGTAATATCGCTTTTCCAAAATTTGGGGGGGGGGGGATTTGTTCATGTACCATGTACTCCCAAATAGAAATTTTAAAATAAATAAATACATAAAAAAAACGTCCATGGACAATATCCAAGCTACATTCATTTTAAAATCAAAGATGCCCAATGCGTAACTTAACTTGAACTTGAAAGACCCGATTGCCTCCAGGTAAAGATTAATTATACAATAATAAATAAGAAAGAAATTTCTTTCATTTTTTTTCAAACAAATTTTTGTTTTATATGATCTTGAATTTTTTATATGAATCATACGATGTCTTAGTTTATGCATATGTTTCCCTCGTAGGATCTATTTTAGGCCTTTTAACCCTTTCTGACGTCATTACACAGTCATCATGTACCTAGATATGTTCCGGCTACCTGTCCAGGTATACTTTCACAGTTTCCGCTAATTCTATTCAGCTGCATACCACTTCCACAATTATTATCCTAAAATGTGAATTACATGTTCAGAGACAAAAAAGAGGAATATTTTGGGAATAATTATATGAACTTTTAATTAAACTTTTCGGGGCAAAATAATGTAAAAATGTAGAAAATCAGTGCCAGAGAGAGAGAAAGAGAGAGAGAGAGAGAGAGAGAGAGAGAGAGAGAGAGCAATGTAATGTGTTTATTTTCCGTTTGCCATGTTAGAAATTTTTACAAGAAAATTAATACTAGCATGTAATTGTGAAGTTTAATTAATAGAAATTATAAAATATATGTATATTACTATTTCAAGGAATGTTCATAGGTTGACGATCTTATAATTATTATTTTTCTCAGTTCGTTTTGGTAAAAATGTGGTATTTGATGGGAAAATATATTTGAAATCCTGTCAGAGGAAATATGTTTTCTTTAAACAATCATTGATAATACATGTTTCATTTTTTGGAACAACAAGGTGATGTTAAAACAAAGCAATTTGCCTTTCTAGAGAAACAAGCAAAACTTCAAAAATATAAATCATACCATCTGATAGTATTTACAGAGTTCACCAGTCAGTGAATCGAATGTTCCATTTGAAGCTCCGTTGGTCAAGCGGCAAGTCTCAGATCCACCGCTTAGGGCACAGAGTTCGAACCCATTACACTGCAGGTCATGGATGCATTTTCTGGAACAGAATCCCAAGATATTTTCCAGAAGAGGGGCTGGATGCTCAATAAGGACATGGCTCACTTTACTGTACAAATTATTTCCCGTGTGAGTGAAAGTCTCTTGGAAAAGCAACGCAGCGCCATAGATTTTAGAAAAGGAAAGAAAAAACATCAAAAGGATGGAAATTAAGTCCATTATCTTCAACATCATTTCAACTTTGTCTTTCCTTTCACATAGTTACTTTTGCATGACTTTAATGTTCTTAGTTTATTGACTAAAGGCAATCAATTATCGTGCAACACAAACGAAGTGTATATTGAAATATAACAGATTAAATATTTATGGAAACCATTAAGAACATTTAAGAGTTCAATAATGACCGCTACAATCAATATTCATTGTCAAAATTATGAATTTATTTCTTTCTCTTTAATTAGTTGAATATCATCAAAACCCTATCATTGAAGGTTAAAAAAGGTATTAGAAATAAGAATTGAAAAATTTTATTTTCTGTATAACAAAACTTATGCTTTTCGAGGGGTTATATCACGTTTTTAAGATTCAATCAAATGGAATTAATTTTCTTTTACAGAATAAAGTCTTCTATAACACAGGTTTTCTTTACTTTGAAGTCGATGCATGTACTTTAAGAAATACAGTTAATTGTAAATAAATATAGTTGAACTGAAATAAACTACCATTTTTATTTAATAATAGCATATTTTCCCATGGGAAACTTTATACAATTAGGGATATACTTCAACGTTGTGGTGGAAGGAGGAAGAGTGATTACTGCAAACTGCTCTCTGAAAGGCTGATGAACAGAACCATCTTCGCACACTTTTTATCATATCCCCCGCTTGAAAAGCGGGAGGGTATATAGTAATGGGGATGTCCGTCCGTTTGTCTGTATAGCTGTCCGTCGGTCTGTCTGATACGCTTTGGGGTACCTATCTCTTATCCGCAACTCCTCTTTTACCACTGAATGAAATTTAATTAGACTTTAATATTTGTTACATATTGCAATTGTGCACCTCTCCTATTTAACATTTTGATCGGATAAATGTTTTGGGTTTTCCAGAGCAAAACATTGACACTGCCATTTTTTTCTATGATATTGAAGGGTAGCCATCTCTTATCCGCAAATACTCCTATACTACTGATTTGAATTTAATGATACTTTCACTGATTCTTTATTACATAATGCCATTGTGTACCTCTTATTTTTACTTTTTGATCTGACACTTACTTCGGGTCTCCAAGAGCAAAACAGGGACTTTGTCTTTATAATCATATGGGAGGCGGGGGTATCATTTAGTGAGCAAATTGCTCACAGTACTTAAGAAAGATCTAATACTGCCATGTCAATATATCAAAAATATTTTTCTTGTGAAAATGTCCGCAAAGTTTTCTTTTTACTATACTTTTTTATGAATTTTTAGATAAGTTTTCAAGTTTTTTTTTTCCCCGAATGGTCCTCTTCTTTTTAATGATGTCACGTGCCTGAGATGATTAAAATAAATATTTATTAGATTTTAACTATATTCATGGCAACTTGTCTCAAAGTTAGAACAAGGACTTAACTATTTAGTATAAAATTGAAGTCGGTACTTTAATCCTTTGAGGTTTAAAGAAACAAGGCATCGATCGTTACAGTGAAAGAAAACATTTCTGTTTATTTGCTTATAGGATAAAAACTCGGACTACTTGTTCAAAATAATTAATTTTTTCGATTTTTTGTAATAAATCTTTAAGTTTCGCCTTTTAAAAGTAAACCTTTAATAGAAATGTTCTCTTATATTAATTAACAGCAAATAAACTTATCATTGTTTGTTTGATTTACGTACTGCATTGTTACTTTTAAGGAGAGGTTTCTGGTTTTAAAATATTTTACAAATCGTTTAAAGGGGCTGGGGAGTTGTGGCCATTTAAGACTGTTTTGGTCTCTTTTCGAAGAAGATTTCCACATAAAGATATACAAAAATGATCAATTTTTAAACTAAAATGCATGACATTTTTCTTTGCCAAATGATAATTGACAGCTTAAGATATCATATATATTAAAATTTAAGTAATATCTGATGGTTAATTTTAGTACCCCTCGGCCTCCTTTAATTACTAATTAAAACATCAAACAAAATAAAACATCTGGGTCAAGTTCGATCTGTAAATAGCTTAAAGCTGTGATGAATTCTTACAAATACGACTTCTATTTTTGTACGACTTGCTTCATACCAACTAGCTCTGTATTCCGTCATATTTCTTTCAGTTGCCTTGTCTTAATTATTGTTACGAAATATAGAATCTCGCAGTATGCTTAGAAACAGATGTAGAAACATGTATGCGGATCTTATTTTGTTTAATGTTTTGTATTCATAGGAATTCATAGGGAAAATATAAAAATCTTCTCAAAAACAACAAAACCATGATTGGTCATATTTATGGGTAGCGTCTTCAGGTAATGTAGATCTTCAAGTTAATCGTCCCATCCCTGCCCCGGGGGTCATGACTTGAAACTTGAATCTTCACTATCAGAGGATACTTCCAAATTACTTTGACTTATCATTGCTTTGATATGGTTGAGAAGATTTTTAAAGATTTTCCTATGCATTCCTTTGTTAAACGTTGATCCCCCGTTGTGCCCCCTTCTTCTATGAAATAATTCTTTATTGATGAAATAAACACAAAAGTCATATATGAAACTTTTCATAAATTCGCTTTATACCTTTTCTCACTGGTTGTTATTATTTTCAATTTGTTTTTCATTTTCCAGCAGATATTCATTAATTTAAGATCTTTAGTTGCTGTATGAAAGCAAAAAGTTCTGATTTTCCTGAAAACAATTACATTGCCTAAAATAACTCATAAATTTTACAGGTTTTTTAAGAGGAAGTTAATTTTTTTTATACATTAGTTATTACATCTACAAGTGACACAGCGAAATTTTTCTTTACTATCTACGAATTGGAAATTAAAGTATAAAAATTTGGTCCGAAAAAGGTTAAGCAAGGGAACAGCTTCCAAAAAAAGTGTACCATGCATGGTAAATGTATTTTTTTAATTTAATTTTTGACCTTTGAATTCATTTTTGAGATTATTCTATAAAATGCTAAAATGATATGTGTTTGCGACCGATTTGATGTTTACATCAACTTATCTTGTTATCGAAATTCAACAAACTTTTATTTTGTTTTCAAGTCTGTGTTTTATTCAGAGTACGGCAATATTCCATCTGAAAAAGAAAGTTTACAACACCAGAAATACAAAATTCATGCATCTAGTAAACTCAAAAGTAACACAGTGTTTTGTCAAAATAATATATTCGGATGTCAGAATAACCTACCTACATTTGAAGATCATGAAACTGATAAGATTGCAAGTTTGGTCTACAAACTTGCAAGTCTGGGGTTATGAACACGAATACCCCCTCCCATTAATATGGAGATAACGAGTAGTATTCAAGCTTAAAAGTCCATTCAAATAAGTCAGTGGCAGAGCAAACACCGACCTCTAGAATGTCAAAGGTAGGATCAGGTGCCGTGAAGGAGTGAGCATCTCCTGCCGACAGATCACATCCGCCCTGTGTTCCCTCAAATGATCGGGAATTAACGGTAAAAATCTGTCGACAATTCACTGTGTTAACTGTACGCAGTTTTCCAGGGCATGTGTTACTAATTATAAGTAAACACGGTGTCAGTTAAAGAACATCGTCGCAAACAACGACCAAATTGTACGAGCCACTCCCATTCTGGCCGGGATTGAATGAGAAGAGAATATTTCGTACTTTGTTAAAATATTTATCAATTGCAATAGAAACAAATATCATGCTGTCATTGGCAAAATTGAGCAAATTTGTTGGTTCCCAAGGAGAGGTCTTGTCACAAAGAATACACATGTGAAATATGAAAGCCATCGTTACACTTAATGAAAAGATTTTGCGGACAAACAAATAGACAGACGGACAAACATGAAAAAAAAAATACATACCCCAGAAACTTCTATCATGGGGGAATAAAAAGATATGGCTTGGCCATTGAACATCGTGTATTCATAAATATTTTATGTATTTTTAAAATCCTCGTAATGCTTTATAAGAATTTGTTCTGATTATTTTTTTTAAATGTTCAAAGAAAAAGAATTAAAGTTTTTGTTTATTTGGTATACAAACAACAAAGGAAAAGGGTATCGTGATCAGTGTTCCAATAATCTAGACGACCAGGGATATGCCTTTTTACTAACACAATAAACAAAATACTATTGCTAAGAAAAAAGATTAAAAAACGATATTATTTTCCAAATAGCTATTTTTAAAATTAATACTAGTTAGAAACTGTATCAAATTCTGTTAAAAAATGTATCGATTTATAAATAACCTGAAAATAATCAAACCAAATGCAACTTATAGGTAGACTAATCTGTGCGCAATCTTTAAGTTAGATTTGTTCGAAATTGAATTGCTTGATTAACTAATGCTGGAAACATTTAATTTTCTTGACATTACGGATATTCTGTGTTAAAGAAATATTGTGATTCGTTGTTCTCTATACCCCCTGGTACGAGTAATTGCCGCTTGCTTTTGTCTTTCCTTTCAATGCATTCATTGAAATTGCATAAGATGCGTTGGTAAAACAAATAAGAACAAATACAAAGTAATTCTATACTCATTGTATTTCAATGCAATATAAACCATAATGCTACAGTTCTGCAGCTACGTTGGTATAACAAATAAGAAAAACTATACAGTGTCATTCTAAACTCATTTTATTTCAATACAATGTGATGGTGAATGCATGAAATCAGTTCCAAACAAAAATAACTATTCGGTACACCGTTTCAGTTACTCAATCATATTTGTCCTTATTAGGAATTTAAATCAGCTGAACACATAAAGTAATCCTTAAGGATAACATTTTGTTTTCGAGGATATAAAGGAAATGTTCTTCAATAGGACTTTTGATTTATTACCTTTTTAGACAGAAAAACAATAGTTGTTCTTATAATTTTGGTTTATAAGGTCATACTTTCAAAATTTTTTGAATTATTATAGAAAAATTATTATGGATTCTTTAATTTCAATTTGAACATTGCTGGTATTTGCAAGTAATTGCAATAATCATTGTGACATTTTTTAATCATATTAGGCTAGCTGCAGAACTGAAGCGGTTATGGTTATATAATAAAGTGTATCTACACTAATTAGTCTATGACCATAATGCTTCTAACCCCGTAATGCAAAAAATGTGTAATTCACGGCGCGGGATATTTTGCGCAGTGTTGGGATAGTTTCTCCACTTTCCAAATTCGATAAATTATCTACCTTTCCCTACAAAACTCGATCTAGACACATTTATAAGTAATTCTGTATACATGTATTTTCATCCACCTCCCAACTCTTAACAGTCGTAACTACAAGCAATAAACTCGCTTGAATTGAATTTTATGTTAGCCAATAAATAGACCATTCCAGTTTATCGCTTGCAGAGAGAGACGACTATATAAAAGGTTGTCAGGAGGATACAATATACAAATTGGTTTAGTAATGTGTGTAGATGTGATTAAGTCTCTATGTTAATATTGTTTCTTATTATATATACTTTTTTAAAATTCATTATTCTTAATTACTTGTTTTGCTGACTGCTCTCTGTCATAGCTACATGTAATGTTATCAAACATAGTTTGTCATCATCAAAAAGAGCACTAAAACATAGAGACTTGAGCAAGTCTATAACGTGTCTGGAATAGATTGATTGATTGATTGTATATTGTTTAACGTCCCTTTCCAGAATATTTCACCGATATGGAGATGTCATAATTGCCGGTGAAGGGCTGCAAATTTAGGCCTTTCCTCGGCACTTACGGCCTTTGAGCAGGGAGGGATCTTTATCGTGCCACACCCGCTGTGACACGGGACCTCGGTTTAAACGGTCTCATCCGAAGGACCGCCCTATTTAGTCGCCTTTTACGACAAGCAAGGGGTACTGAGGACCTATTCTAGCCTGGATCCCCACGGGGCGTCTGGAATTAGAGGGTGAAAGGTAGATGACTTACCAATGCTGGAAAGTGAGAAATTCTCCCAAACGGTGCGCAAAAAATCCGTAAATTTCTTGAATTATACTGGATCTATAGCGGAATGGTCAAAGACTAATACATGTATATAAAACAATAACACTACAGTTCTGCAGCTAAGTTAGTATTTCTTTAAAGTTAATATAGTGAACGAAAACAATTTCGTACTCTCAAAAACAGTCTTGCTATCGGAGGAGAAAAAAGGAAATATATCACAGGATTAAGGCTGTTATTACATAAAAGAAATAAATCAAATAATTCATGAAATTCTACGGACGACAAAAATCCGGTGCACTTGTCCGTCAAATGTAAAGCATCGAGTATGGTGTAAAGTAGAGGATAGCTAATCGTGATCAGATAAGTCAAAATAATGATAAGAAGCATTACTGACATTGAATGAACGATTCTTACTCCATTTTGTCTTTCTGATTCTGGTAGTTTGCGTAAATGACAAACTTTTCTCAAATGGAAATAAACTATCAAAATAAAAGGGACGCCCGCTATATAAATAGCAAACGCCAATTCACTCCAGTTTTTTGCACGTTCAGACAAAATATTTTCTAGGAATAATATTTGTTGCACACTATATACTCCTGTCATTATAAATGAAAATATCCATATTATTTGACAGTGCTTCATAATTTTCCTAGAACTCATTTTAAGACTTTTCAGAGGCATTGAAATAAAAATATAGCGGATATATGAAATATGTGCCGTATGGAAGTTAGCGGCGTGTAAGAAAAGAAAAGTAAAAATATCAAATACAGACTGCCTCGGGGGAATTTTAAAAAATGCGCTTACAGGATCGGGTAAAACCATGATATAGCGTGACGTAAGGGCCAAAACATCAGCATATGCCAAGCAGGCAATTGCGGTGTAGGTCGGGGTGTGAAGTCTTTTAGTTTTGATGATTACCAAAAGGGTAGTGATATTTCCAATAAACCCAATCAAGAACAGCATGGTTCCAAAGCTAAATACGTGTTTGTCCCAGTAATGAACATTCAATAAAGAAGCATTTTCCATACACTGAAATAAATCAGCAATTGCGGCATTGTTTTTAGAACCGTCTTTTCCAGTAAGATTCACTGAGTGGCCAGCAAAAGTGTTATTATTAGGACAAATTACGCTTGAATTTTCCATTTCTATCTTCACTCTGAAAAAGAATAAAAGAGAACATTAAATAATGATAATTAAAACAGACAAAACTTAGCGATTGTCTGTCTTATAATGCTTAAAATCACTTTAAAAAATAAAACAGCAAAATATTTTTAAGAAATTTAAATGACTTACGAGGGCAGAAATGGCACCTGGCGTTTCACAAAATCTATCCCACTGGAGAAAAAAGACAGCTTTATTCACTTCCAGTAAAACATTTCAGCTACAAATAATAAAATACTCTAAACTGTATATACACGGCTTCTATAGCTGATAATGGTTCTTTATGGTTGACGGTATAGTTGATCCATTATAATTCTGCGATCAAAAGAATAATTGCATTAATATTTAGTTACAAAAAATAAACCCGGTAAATTGCGCAAAAATAAAGTACCCCATGAGATTAATAAAGCAATTCTTCTAGGTCTGTATCACAACTTTGCGAAATTACAAGCATTAAAAGACATATTGACCATGGCAGTAAACAAAATTTAAACACCTACATGTTAGGTGTACTTATAAGATATTTTATGTATCTTTAAAATTTTCTAGACATAATTTTGCATTTTAAGGAAAATGACGATCAAGGTTATTCCTTACAAAGAGCACAATCATTAGTAATTTTCTTTGCCATTATTTAATGTCATTTTTTTTCCTCATGTAAGCTAAATATAAAATAAATCATACTTACAATAACATATATGTTTTTAACGTTGAATTGCACAAGTAGAACAGCTTAATAAATGGTAAATGGTGATTGATTGCGACTTTAAAATGAATTGTTGTGCTCGAAGTTCATAAATACTTCAGAGAGAAATGATCCACTTAACAAAATGGATCAGCAGTTTGGGGAAAGGGTAAAAGGAAACGAGATCACGTCCCAATTTATCATATTTCAAATTTTAATGTATAAAGTAGTTTTTG